TGTCAGGGTTGGGGACAGCTACTTCCCAATAGAAAGTACCCTATACATGATGTTTTTGTATATATTAAGCTTATCCCTATATAATTTAATGCCTTATGTTTAAATAGACCATAACATATTCTTAGTAAATATCTATGTCTGAATACTTAATTGTTTTGTTAAATAGTTTTTCTTGTTATGGGACTGCACTTTGTACTAATTCGGTAGAATGCCCCATATACTAGTTTTGTCTATAACATTGCATTAAACTTTGTAAGCAGGTCATGTGCTTGTTTGTAAAATTGAATCTAGCTGTCAGGTAAATGTAGAGAAGGCAATACAGCTTGCTCTATAGAGCACATTTTTCTACCAATAAATGTAATGTTGTGCGTTGGCAACTGTGTTAAATGTTTTTTGTTTGTTTAGTTTTTTATGTTTCACTTCCTGTTTTATTTTGTATTCACCTTGTCTCGTTCCTGTTTCCTTTATTTCCCGCCATCGTCAGTGTCTGCCCCGCCCCTGATTGTTTCCACCTGTATCCACTTACCTTTAGTATATAGTGTCCTGTCTCCCTTTGTCTGTTGCCAGATTGTTTTGTGTCTTTTGACAAACTCTCCAGCGTTTTCCAAACTCTTCTAAGTTATGGTTACGGTTATTGTTCATATTAGTAATTATAGTAAGGTAAGATCAGGTAGAAGTATTTTTCTAGTTTATTTGTGAGGTAAGCATTTAGTGTAGATTTATCATTGTATGTATTTTTCTGGATCTGCCGATCCTGTGGTTTTGTTATTCATTATATTTTTCACAACTGCTTTTCAAGTAAAGACTCTTTTTGATACTTAAATCCTGTGTCTGCATTCATGCTTTTGGGTCCACTCATTGTACACCCGTGACACTTAATGTGCTTTACATGTATTAGAGGGAAAAAAAGAAAGATCTACACATATACCAAATGTTTACACACACTCATCTGCATGCATACAACAATCTCATATACTGAACAAACTCTGCCAACATAAGTAAGACTGTGTACATAACTGAATATGACAACATTAATAGCTAGAAGTCTATGTTTGTTTTTAGTGTATCATGTTTTTGTTTATCGTCTCACTTTAAAATGTAAACCACCTAATTTGCTCATAACATTGAAGTCTTCTTACTCAATTCAACCTATTCCTAGCCGTCTCTCTTTATATTTATATTTTAACAGATGTCCAATCATACGAAGATGTCCTTATTTTTGTATTAATGTAAATTCTGCTTCTTAGCTTTAAACGTACATACAGCTTATAGATGGATTAAACTGTGATATTTTGGACCTGATTGAACAGATGGCAGTCAGGACGCTCCACAGGAACCCTCTGCAGGCTGCGTGGCTGTGTGGTCTGCTGGCTGCTCAGGTGCTCAGCTGTCCAGACTCCTGCAGCAAGTGTTCAGGCCCAGAACATGACCAGTGTGAGCAATGCAGAGCAGGATGGACACTCCACAATAACACCTGTGTAGGTACTGTGCAGAGCTTACCTTCACATTTATGTTTGGTATAGGACAAGCAGACTAATGTTCTAAATGTATTTTAATGAATGCATGTTTTGATCTGTTTCAGACATTGATGAGTGTGGCACTGAGCTGGGTGTCTGTCCTACAAACAGATACTGCTTCAATACACAGGGTTCGTTTGAGTGCAGAGGTCAGTGGTCTACAATCTGTGTAAAATACTTAATATGTTACCTTCTTCTATAGAAATAATTAAGACCAAATGAAATAAATAACTGAATAAACATAACATGCCAGAAAACAGTGGAAACATATCAATCATGATTTACCAGAGGGTTAGGAAGACATCCTCAAACACCTTGTTTAGCTCAACCAACAGCCCAAAACCTAAAGATATTCAATTTACAGAAAAATAGCAAATCCTTACCTTTGTGAGGCTGAAGCCAGCTAATGTATTACATTGTTTGACTGATATAGGGCTAACAAATATATCCTTTATATATATCCTATCCATCTATTCATTTTCTATTCTATTGATGTATATACTTATTATTTGATCAAAAATAAAGAAATAGAGCCCCAAAACGGACAAAAGGAGGTAAAAGTCATCAGTGTATCAGACAGCTCAACCAAACACAGCCACATATAATGAATATATCCTCAATGTCAGTTAATGATATTGTGAGTGAGAAAACTAAGTTTAATCACAAACACAAAGCTGGTTTCCTTACAACCAGTTGAGAATATAAAATAAAATGTAAATCTTTCACTAGTTAATTTTATGTTTTCAAAATATATTATCATGTATCAATGACCATGCAATATCAAGCCTTGTTTTGTAAATGAATACATGTAATGGTCACTCTTTCCTCAGATTGCGACCCGGCCTGTGTGGGCTGTATGGGCAGTGGACCAGCACGCTGCAGGAAGTGTGCCTCTGGGTACTCATTGACAGGGTCCAAATGTTTGGGTGAATACCTTAAACATAATATTTGAAAGAATGATTTTGTGCTCCAGATGAGATTGCATATTGAAGCTCTCCTTGTTTCTCTCAGATATAGATGAATGCAGTGACAGGGTACTTGCCTGCCATGGTCTGGATGAGATCTGCATCAACACAGAAGGCTCTTTCCGCTGTGACTGTGCTGAGGCATTCATCCACAAAGATGGTGTCTGTGTGAAGAAGCAGCAGTCTCGTGAGTCTCATCACAATCCCATGCACTTCACCTGACTGCAGCCTCTCACATGTGTATCTCTCTGTGCAGGCGTTCAGGACAAAGGTCTGTTTGAGGATATCCAGGACGACGAGGTGGAGGTGCTGCAGCAGATGTTCTTCGGGGTGGTGCTTTGTGCTCTGGCCACACTAGCTGCCAAAGGAGATATGGTCTACACATCTGTATTTATGGGGGCAGTGGCAGCCATGGCAGGGTACTGGCTTTCTGACAGGGGGGACCGTTTGTTAAACAACTTTGTCAGCGGACGTTAACACAAATAGTACATGCTGTATGCCAGCAACTTAAACAATTACTGTTCAGAAAATGCAACTGAATCGTGCGCATTCACTTTTGTTATAAACAATATTAGTTTTTGATATGAAAGTATTTTGCTCTGAAAGATGGTCATATTTGTCACACTTTTCTCTCAGTTAGAGAAATTGTTGTGGCAAAACTTTTAAGCACTGAACTATTCATTGCTATCAGGATGTTAAGAGCATTCCATGGAATATAACAAGAATTACCTATACCCTACCTTTTAAGGTGTTTGTGCAGAACCAACCTTTCCTTTAATTCGAAATATTTTAATAAAATTCAAGTTTTGTTACATGAACCTGGAGAAGTGACACTTTTCTCTGTCCCTGCAGCTTCTCTCCGCTGACTACATCTTTTTCTTTCCCCCACTGGCAGGATGTTCTTTACATTTTTTGAGTTTTCATTAAGTCTGTGGTAACGAGTTTCTCAAAAGGAATGTGGTTGTTTATTCTTGGCGCACTTACCAGTCTAGTAGAAAGTTGTTATGGTGTTAGACATTTTTCTAGCTTTAGATGCCTTGTTTTGGTATTTGGTGCCAACAAAATAAAATGTTATTAACTATAGATAGATTTAAAAATAATTAATACAGCTTGCTTGGATTCTCTCCTGATACTGTATCAATGACATTGTATTTGCATTCACGAAAAATAAAGTTTTTACCTGTACTACAATGTAGTATATCGTGTTTACACTCTCCAACAGTTTCATATAATGATCGTAGAATTACTAGAAAGTACTTATAATTTGAGTAGAAAATTGCCAACAGAGACAGAAAGAAAGTCACCTTTATTTGATGGATATAAACAAGCTGGCCAACACTCAATAGTAGTATTCTGTTACATCACATACAATAGCAAACTGGGGAGCTGAGGATAGCCTCAGAGGGTTAAAAAGAAAAACAGAAAACATCACAGAGTATCCATGCTTCATTCAAAACTTTGACTCAGTCTCTCTTTTTTCTCCAGGGACTTCCTCTGATAAAGTTTTTTAAATAGATTTTTATCTTATGTATTCATGAAACACACACCCACCATACCCACACCCATAAAAGCAGCTATGTGCACACACACACTCACACTTACTATCACTCCGTTATCTTTTCTGAATACATTTACACAAGCAACCCCAAAATCATGCTGCACTCTCACAAAACTGCACAGGCTGTCTACTAAGAGGACACAGTAAGTGAGACACACATCACTCTCAAACACAACATCACACCGTCACAATGCTCGATGCAGATGAATGAGGAATGATGCATCATGGGAGGCTAGCTCACGTTCACACAAGTAATCATTCAGCATGCTGGACACTCACATTTAACGTGTTCCTAAATCTTTACTGTACAGCTCAAAACATTTACTTATACAAATAGTACAGTCTCAAACTGGCATATTTTATAAGCTTAAACCATACAACAAATAAAGTTAACTTAAATACAAAAAATGAAGAATAAAAATGTAAACAATTTTTGTTCTGTCAAAACAAAAAAATGTTTCTGGCATTGGTCACAGTGATTTGTTTAATCCAAAGTTTTCAGCAACATACAGTTAAAGAAAAACAACTTGTATGCAACGATAAAGTGAAAATGTTAGGCTTTTCATACTTTTTTCTCAAAGGCCTTTTGAAAATAACTGGTGAACCTACAGGCCTTTCAAGTCTTTTTCTACACGGCTGCCTCCAGCCACAGACTTGACTTCTTGACTCCACCTCACTGAGTGCGATGTTCGTCCTTCACACCCAGGATTAGTCTTTCGTTTAAGCCCAGCCTCTAAGCCTCTGTGTCTCCTACCATTTTTTTATTTGACACAACAGTTGAGAAATCGCTCTGCATAGAGAACAGGAGATTATCCTTACGTCATCGCTTTCAGTTGGCACGTTATGTAAAATTCAGCATGCATGGGCAGAATTAAAAATGTTTCATGTGTTGTACCATGTAAATCATATATGGTATTTGATGGTAGGAGAACCCCCTACTTCAAGTATTCAAAAGATAAGGACCTGAAAGTCGGGGAATTGCACTCCGCCCCCCGATGGTGAATTGAGAGGATTTTTGCTCCTCTGTCTGTTTGCATTGTCTTCCCATAAAAAGAAAATTCCAAATCAGGACCTTTCTTTTAACATTTGTAAACACAACCACGAAAGTTTCACACATCAATGGATTCTTGGTCAGTGACAGGATGTGTGTAGGTTCATAGGTGAAGCGGACACGTTAAAGGTGATGCATGCATCACCTTGATTTTTGGAAGATGGGTAGATGGAAAGACATTTACATACAACAATCAACACTTGGCCATATAAAGGAGACACAGGCACCATGAGGGGAGGGAGAGGAAGTAGGGGATTGTAACAGTCTAATTCAATGTTCACTATATAATGCGAGTTGTTTTTTCTACTTGATCAGCTGTCACAGTCACGTATGTCACCACTTCTGCTTACAAGACGACAACGACGACAAAAACGCAAAAGAAATGCATCCCGACAGAGTCACTCGAACCTCTACTTGGATGTTAAACGTGATAGTCATCACTCACAAGTGCAAGTTTCTGACTGCTTTAGTCCAGCAGCCATAATCTCATTGCTACTGATGTGAGCTGCAAAATTCAGTCTTTTTTTTGTTCGAAGTTGTCACCACAAGCCAAGTGATGTTCAACTAAATGTTTTCATAAGGAAGGAATGTAATAATGTCGTATTTTATACACTTCTAAATAGATTTGGATATACTTCTATTCCTCATAAACTGCTCTAAAGCTCTTATATTTTTTCTTTTGGGGCTGTCCTGTTTTCAGACAGGGAATGTTTCTTGTTGCTGAAGGGTTTTCTCACAATGTACAAATCAGAGGAAAATCACACCACTCAACACTCTAAATAAGACATCTCACTGACCTCCAGCCAGTTAGAAAAATAACCATGAGGAAAAAACATATATATCTTGTCAGTTTGAAACGATTTTCTGACCACGTATAGACACACTATAGATTTCTCTCTATATGTATAATATATATGAATATCTATCATATATACTGTGTACAGTTTTTACGAGGCACAGGCCACCTTTTTGAGAAGGAGAAAACAGGTCACTATGTTTGGGGTGGTCACACCGGAGAGGGGAGCAGGACCATACTGTAGTCAGAGATGGGGTGTCAATGGTACAGACAGACCTGCAGGGAAAACATCGATTGAACCTCCACCTTATAGTCTATACTGTATTTATAGTAGCACTCTTCATACCATCACCTCTGTGTGGGTCTTGAAGTAATTGTTGTTCATAAGGTCAATACGTATGTACAAAGCAGTCTTACAGTTGTTTGTGAAGCCCGTTTTGGGGTCAAGTCCCTCTACTGTAAAAGGACTAAAAGATGCTCTTGACCAGGTCTTCTGACACCATTTAGTTTGAGCACCAGCAGAAGCACCATTAGTAAAAATTCCTGCAACACGGAGGAGGTGCATAGGTGCATAGTATCAGAAAGGAAAGGTAAAATGACTTATGATTATTTTTTAACCCTCTCTTGGCCGCTCTGATTGGATGGTTGATTACACTTTTGGTGAGAAATTTGAGCAAGGATGTGGGAATAAAAATGCATTCACTCTACATTGACTTCTGCATAGATTGATTATTTTGTTGACTACTTTTGATTAAAATGAGGTAAGATGAAGAGAAACATTGATAGCACCCACAGCCTTGAGGCTATAACAAGCCCATGAGCTGGAAGGCCCTGCTTCAGTAGCCAAGGGAACCCCACCACTGCAGGCAAGGCTAAAGGCGTACTATCAGCAAGCTTTAAGCTCTCCCTTTTACCAACAATAAATTAAAACAGAAAACGATCTAATCTGGTGTCTGGAAAAAGCAAGTGCCTCTAAACAGATGTGTTGTGTGTTAGCATGTATAAAAGGTAAAAAAGAGGTCACTGTGTGCCACAAAGGGTAAATTAGCTCATCGACACGATCAAATGATTAAAACTACAGAATAGTCATGAGTCATGAGGGTGATGACAGCCAGGTCGAGGGGTCAGATGACACCAGGTGGGTCAGCAGGGCAGTGAGGATCAAGAAACCAGGACAGAGTCAGGTGGGGAAGCCAGTGGGCAGGAGAAACAGACAGAAAGAAGACCAGGATCTTGATCCATCGCAGGGAGGAGGATGAGGAACAAATACTGGGCTGGCAGGCAGTCATGAGATCTCTGCTGGGTGGATGGAGAGGGCGTTGTTGGCCTGAAGAGGTGTAGTGATCAGCAGGTGACAGACAGGTGAGGTGACCTCTGTGAGACGCAGGGCTGCCATGTTGATCACATGCCATGTCCAAGCAAGAATCTGACAGGGCACATCTGTCTCTATGGGCATCAACATCATTTTAATGTAGTCCTGCATCTGTGTTTCTGTACAGAGGAAGAAGAGGACGGCTGCTCCTGTTTCACACAGAGAAGAGGTCCCAGGTCACCTTGAGCAGAGAAAAACTAAATAGAGTAAGTTTGTACATTTATTTTGATTAGATTCTTTGTGTGTGTGTCATTGTACATTATGTGTTGGAAATTACCTGATCAGCTGTCAGTCTCCCCGCCTGACCTGCACACCTGAGTGCCCCCTCCTCGTCCCCAGAGAAAATAAACAAAAGTCCCATTGCTGAGTGTCGACTGAGTGAAGGTAATACATGTTTGGTCGGGTAGTGTTTCAACTTCGTGGCGTGGCTGTGCTACTCCAGTAGTGACTGAATCATCTGAATGTGAGAGATTACAAAAATTAAGGCGTCATGCAGCTGTTATAAAGCGTGAAGAATCTGAGAATCATAAAGTTATAACGTCTTAAACATATCTCACCCCGCAAAACAATATTAGAGCTTTGGTTGTCACAGTAAGGATTATGCCCAAATGCCCTCGTCGTCATCCTGCTAATGGTAGCATTTCACACAAGCAGCAGAGATTTGCATAAGAGGAGGAAGTAGACAGAAACCAGAGTTACAGTTGAACAAATAACCTCTCTGTAACAGCAGGCAGTGTGAGAAAGAAAATATGTTATACACGTCTACGAGTAAAACTAAGGATTTAGTGGTGTGCTAAGTAGTTGTAGTACTGTTTTAACTTAAAACTACAAAACAAATGGCCTCTCACCTGGTCCTGGGCAGGGCGGTGACCAGCATGTGGGGGTCCTCGGGCCGGCCCCCCACGATGATGGGGCGATGGGTGACGTGGATGTTGGCCGTGATGCGGGTGCTGGGGGTGCTGGGGATGTGGATGTTGGGGGTGGGGTCCTTGTTGGGGAGGGCCGTGTGGGTGCTGCGGGTGAGGGTGCTGGGGAGGAGGATGTCCGTGTGGGTGCTGGGGAGGATGCTGAGGGTGCTGTTGGTGAGGGTGTTGGGGCTGTGGGGGTCGTGGGTGCTGTTGGTGCTGAGGAGGTGGTGGGGGGTGCTGCTGGGTGTGCTGCTGTGGGTGCTGATTGGGGTGCTGCTGGGGGTGCTGATTGGGGTGCTGATTGGGGTGCTGCTGGGGGTGCTGCTGGGGGTGAGGGTATTGGGGTTGTGCCTGCTGTGGGTGTGGGTGCTGTTGGGGGGCCTGCGGGTGTTGCGGATGCATGGTGTTGGGATATGGAGTCTGCTGGGCGTGAGGGGCGTGAGGAGCGTGAGGGGCGTGAGGAGTGTGGGGAGGGTGGGGGATGGTGGGAGAGTGCGGAG